TGAACTTTTTTCTGCAAACTTCAAAAGTGTACCCTCCATATAAAGTATGAGGGCCAATTACTTTTATATGGAGGAAAATGCCTAGGACCGTCCACAAAAAAAAAAAATATTGCAGTTTAATCTACTAAAATATAATGGGCTATAAAACAGTATACCTAAAATTTTTAATAAAATGTTTAAAATTTGTAGGTGTAATTGTTAAAGTTTGTTGAATTTTTTTTATTTTTGTAAAAAGTTTGAAATGTGGATTAATGTGGTGCTGGTTATGTAATATGCTAGTCTTTTATAAAAAATGTGACTAAACTTAATCAGCTGACAAGAAGTGTATATGTAATGAGGAAGGTTTAATGTATCGAATCGGTATCGGGTACCGAAAAGAAAGTATTGGGTACCGAAATTTTCTTCAAGTATTGGGTACCGAGTATTGGGTACCGACAATTCAGCACATCACTAATATTTTATTGCATGTTCAAGAGCTTTGTAGATGGCGTAGTCTTCAGTTGTAAATATAGAAGAGTACAGTGACAGTAGTCCTGCCGTTATTATTTCTCCGTTTTCTTTAACAACAGCGAAAGATGTTGTGCATTCTGTTTTGGATCCATCAGTGAATAATAAAGACCAACCGTTGCTTTTGAATTTTTCGGTTTCCTCTCTGAAAAGTTGATTATAGATCATGTTACATGTTGTATCTTTAGTTTTCAGATGCAGGGATGTGTTGATCACTAACGGATCAAATATCCACGGGGGTTGGGGTAGAGACGTTTAATGGTTGGAGTAGGAGTTAGGTTTAGAGACTTGCAGAAAACCACACAATGCCGTAAGGTAGAACATGTGTTGTATCTTTTCCTGTGTCTGAAAGCGGCTATGAATTCGTCAAGTAGAGTTTTGTTGCGAGTGTTAGCCAATAACGGAATAAAAGCGTACGAGGTTTCTTTGACTCTTTCTTTGATTGCAGGAAACCCAGCCTCTGCATTTATCGCGCGGCGCACTGCTTGGTGATAAGGGGAGGTAATTTGTTTGATATGCGACTGGGCGCACCATCCATAAATTGGAAGGTCATAGTCAATTTTGCTCAGAATTAGCGCTCTACTTATATTCATTAAGTTATTAATATTAATAAGACAGTTTGTAGTGGTTAAATACTTTATTATGTTCAGCCTGGCAGCCAGATTACTTCTTAATTCTAAAGAGTGTTGCTTAAAAGTAAGAATTTTATCGAAAACTACACCTAAGATTTTTAATTGGTTTGCAACCACGATGCGTTTATTATTTACGTTAATATTCGGTTGTGTACATTTAATTCTTTTACAAATGTGTAGAACCAAAGAACGTAGATAACAAGAAGGGACAACTCGTTATAATTGTGGCGAAAGTGCGCAACAGGGGCGTGCCTTCCTTTTTCATCCAATCAAAAAACGCACTAGGGGAAAAGAGAAAGCACGCCCCTGTTGCGCACTTTCGGTACAATTATAACGAGTTGTCCCTTCTTCTTATCTACGTTCTTTTGTAGAACTTTGCATTTATCAATAGAGAGGGTGGCTCCGGATAGAGTCCCCAACTACTTAAATCTTCTAATATTTTCGCATCGTTTAATTTTGAAAAAATAATCGCGTCATCGGCGTAGAGTGATAAATTTACATCTTTGTACTTACAGGTCTATTCTGCGCTGGTAATAAAAAGTTTGTAACCGGTAAATAAAGTTCCTGTCAATTTTTAAACCTCTTTCGCATTCTGTGTACTCTTGTAACCGGGAAATTTAGTTACCATCTCATAAGCTGGTAACAAATTATTGCCCCGTGAAATATGCAATGCCAGGATTTGCACAATTCTTCATAGCTGAATTGCTGAATATTTTAACTGCATTACCAACGTACCTAGAATCGCGGTGACAAGAACTGGTAACATTTTTTGGTAATAAAATTTTCCGGTCACAAAATCTTCGGTAACGTGCAGAATAGACCTGTTAGAAATAATTTCATTTACTTTTTCAAACGCAATCAATAGATTGCGAAAAGCTGACAAGGTGTTATTTACTTTAACTTGGAACCTGCGGCCGGTCATAAAGGCCTTTATTACATTAAAGATCTTTTGTAGAGGTGTCAAACTATCGATGGTACTATCGATAGTATCGATAGTTTTGTTTTTTTGCTCCTATCGATGAGTAGTGATAGTTTTTCTCAAAAAAGGTTAAACTATCGATAGTACTAGTTGACTATTGATAGTTTAAAACCTCTAGCACAGCCGATTTTACTTATAATGTCTCCATGTAGCTGCGCGTCAGTTTTTTAAGTTTGCCAATTTTTTATTACAAGTGATACTTTCATTGTGATTCCTCCTTTAATGGCCATTTTCTCAAGCAAACTTTAATTGAAAAGCTCCCTTTATATTTAAACGTTGCTTCAAACCATAAGGCTATGTCTGAAGTAAAGCATTTCTATTATCGGTGTTTGACGTTTGTATGTTTCTTGGCTGTAAACAAATCAAAAAATTATATTACGAAATTTAAACAAAATATATCGTATTTGAAAATTTATAATAAGCAACAATTAAACAAGGCAACAGTGATTTTGTTGCGGCAAATGATAAAGCTGTTTTTCATATACTTTTTTATGCTTAATACGAGTCCGTAAGCATAAAGATTCCATCAGCTCCAGATTTTAAGAAAAACGAGGTCAAAGTGTCAAAAAATCGCGTTTTTTGCAATATTTTAGAAGGTCTACCACAAAAAACAACCCTTAGAACCTTTAACTGGGGCTTAAATTAAAGCTATAACTCTCGGCTACTACCCCTGCACCTTGACCTGATATACACTAAAAGTCATTTATTGAACAATATAAAAATACTGGAATAAATACTGTGCTATTGAAAAAAATAAATAAGTTTTGCCAAAATCAGTTTTTGCTGTTAAATAAATAACTATAAGTGACCTTAGGGTTAAGGTTCAGGGATGGTATTTTAAGCGATTGTAGTCGAAAGTTTAAACCTTAATTTCAGCCCAAGTGGAAGGCTCTATCCGCTTTTGTTTAATTGCGGTGGGTACTCAATCTTCGCACAAAATCAGGTTTTGCTGTTCAATAAATGACTATAAGTGACCATCAGGTCAAGGTGTAGGGATGGTATTTTCAGGGATAGTAGTCGGGACTTCTAGCTTTAATTTAAGCGTAATACCGCCTTTTGATTCTTTGCTAGAGCTTCTAAAATATTGCCAAAAAAAAACGATTTTTTGACATTTTGACCTCGTTTTTCACAAAATCTGGAGCTGATGGAAACCTTATGCTCATGAATTCGTAATCAGCACTGACAAGTCAATCAAAAACAGCTGTAACATTTGCCCCAACAATTGTTTTCCCATTTTTGTTGCCATGTGTTATAGATCATAAGAAGAATCTTTCTTTACTAGGCTCATAATTTTATTTTTAATTGTAAGCTTCAGTAATAGATATGTAAATAAATAAGAAAAAATCGATAATAAAATGCTTTACTTAGACAGAGCTATACATGTTAAAGCAATATTTATACATAAAGTGAATTTTAAAGTTAAAAGTTACTTACTGTGTTTATATTTTCAATATTTTGTTCTTTTGTTTTTCGAAGCCGTCCCTGTTAATTTGGAAGAGTTTTTAACATTACATTGACTATCGATAGTACTATCGATGGTAGCGTTTGACACTATCGATAGTATTGCTGGAAACTATCAACGAGTAATGATAGTTTTTTTCTGAAACATGGAAACTATCGATGGTGGCACTATCGATAGTTTTACAACTCTAATCTTTTGACCCACACCCCAGACTTCATGTTTTTCTAACACGGCGTGTATGCCGACACGATCGAATGCTTTTTCAAAATCAATTGTCAAAATAGTGACATGGTTTTTCGTTGAAATAGCATTCGACGCAAAGTGTCGGATGTGAAGAAGTGCATCCAACGTGCTGTGTTTTTCTTTAAATGCTGTTTGATTATATCCTATTAACTTGTTAGTAGTGATGAACCACATTAGCCGTTTCGCTATCATTTTCTCAAATATTTTGCTTATGCATGGGAGGAGCGATATCGGCCGATAGCTGTTAGTATCGTATCTGCTCTTGTTGGGCTTAGGGATAGGAAGAATGACGGCCGATCGCCATGTATGCGGATAGACTCCAGAGCTAAATACTTTGTTGTAGAGGTTGAGTAATTGTAACTTTGCCTTGTCTGGCAGATTCCTTAGCTTTGGGTAAGATATACGATCGTACCCGGGCGATTTACCTTTTGCGTGGGCGAGTGCGAGCTCTAACTCGAGAAGCGATAAATTGGAGTCAAGGTGACTAGCCGTTTTGGACAGGGCTGTTGGTGAATACAGTTTTGATTACTGTTGTTGTTTAGCGGAGACATATTCATTTTAAAAGTTGGAGTCCTGCGAGTAATTACACCACGTTGAAGCAAAGGCGTCGGCAATATCGCCAGAAGCAGATATCTTAGACATTATTCCAACTTATGCAGCGAATTTGGGGACAGGGGATCCCTGTAAGTGTTTTTATGTCGGCCCAAATTTGTTTCGGTGTGGAGTGGTGATTGATTGACGAGGTGAATTTCTCAAAACTTGCCCGTTTTGCAACTTTAACTGCTTTGCGAAAAATGGCGTTAGTTTTTTTGTAAGCTATCAACAACCTAACAGAGTTACTCCGTTCAAACTCCTGCCATGATTTTTGTTTCTCTGCCCTAAGCTTGTTTAGATTGGCGTTCCACCAGGGGACACAAATTTTTCTTTGGGAGTTTTTCGTTTGAGGAATAGCCCGGTTAGCTGCAGATTTGATGCACTTTGTGATTTTTGCTACCTCCTGGTTGACGTTTGGGCACTCCTAATTTTTCTATTATAAAGGTCTGATTATGCACACTTCGCATAACTTCGTACAACCATTTGTACCAGTGCAATAAAAATGTAACTTAAGAAATCGTGAAGCAAAATCTAAACTAAACAGATCGCTAAGTTTTGAAAAGTTATGCTAATTTCTGGGTAATGGAATGCTTACAAAGTACAAACGAAATTACAGTTTGAAGTTTATGCGAAGTTGTGCGAAGTATGCATAATCAGACTATAAGGGCCAATCAGCGCGATCTGTGATGAATTTAGGAACCAGTTTGATTTTGTCAAAAATGAAGTTTGTAGTTAGCGTAGTTATTATGGGGAAGTGATCGCTGCTGTATGGACAGTCACTGATTTCCCATTCGCTTTTGGGACCTAATTGAGAGGACGCTAAGGTAATGTCAATGTGGGTTAAAGAATTATGTGTAGACAGGTGGGTGGGCGATCCATTGTTGAGCACCATCAGGTTTTGCGATAACATGATATTTTCTACTACTGTTCCTCTAGCGTTTTCTTTAGTTGACCCCCAGAAGGGGCTCCATGCATTTAAGTCACCTAATAGGAGAATTTGATAGTAAGATTGACCAACGAATCGAGTGATATCTTGCTCCGAGAAGAGTTGGCTTGGTGGTATGTATAAGTTTACTATTGTAAATTTAATATTAAGGTTGATTTCTATTTCTAGTGATTGTATGTTGGAATTTCTTGTTCGAACAGTGTGAGGGATGTGGTGTTTAACTAGAACACCAATGACGAAATTTATTGAATAATTCCACATAAAATGGTATACATAAATGACTAATTTTCTAAACGATTTAAATAAAACGCATTTCATAACCTTTTTTGTGCAAACGGCATTTGCGAATTGATAGAAAAGTACTACGGATTGTAAATTTTTGTTAACTATGAGGTGAATGAAAATTTTCAACCCGGCCTGACGGTTTTGAAGAATTTTTTTGTTCTAATTTTATTACTAAGGCGTCTAATAAATGCATGGCTTTTAGTTCTAGAAGAATAAAAGTCAGTAAAGACAAGTCTTTTTTGTATAATTTCTGATTTTAATTGGTCAACTTCTTTTGCACCAGAGCAACTGTCAAAAATTTCCAGCAGTAAAAAGTTACGAATTGGCACAGCAATGTAAAATTTTCGTGCCATAATAAAAACGTTTTTTCAACATGGATCTTTTCTACTAATTGACATGAAATTACTATCTCAACGCTCGGAGCGCTGCCACTGAGGGCTTTTGCCAACTGATAGAAAAGAGAAAATTTGGAAATACCAAACAAAAATTTTGAGATTTCTCCTTGTGAATACGAATGCCATAGTTTTTACCTAGCTCGTGGGACTACGCAAAATTTTGACAGCTTGTAAATATGTATACACATAAAGTTGTTAGCGGTAATAAAGAGTCAAAATCAAAATGGAGAAAAGAACAAAAAGCGTACGTTAGTTGTCAGTTATAAAATAAATCCAATTTATTTGCGAATATTTGTTTATTCTATTTATTGAAAGGCAACTACACGAAAAAGCTTGTGTTAATTATATTGATAACAGAACCTGGCGCGCGACGTTGTCTAAATTCTCAAGTAACATAAAATCCACAAAAGAATACATTGCTTGTATTACCATCAATACACCATGTATAAATTTTAACAACACACAAAAATAGAGCTTTCGCACGAGGTTTGTTTGGTTTTTCAACACCATTTATAATTTTCTTTTAATAAAATCACGTATTGTCAAATGCTTAAATTTATTTATCTAATAATAATGCAGCACACAACCCTGAAATCTAAGAAAAAGTCTGAGGAAGGCCATTAAATAGCAGCACACAACCCCGTGCCTTCCTCAGGAGTGAATATAACTACAACAACAACGACTACTACAACAACAACCCAAAAAGGTTGGTTACTGTCTATACTGTGCATATGGTGAGGAATTGCATGAGAGTTTTGCATTTTCGGAGTTCTTTAGATTCATTTCGGAGTACTGTATATTAGTTGCATTCGCGTAGCTGTTAATTGTTCATGTTAAACCAAAACTTTTAAGTTTTTGCGTTCGCGTACGCAAAAAAACTTGCAAAGTAGGGGAAATTGAGAGAGCAAAGTGACATTTCATTTTGAGGGGAATCTGCTGGTTTCTGCTGCAAAAATTTTTGCCAACAGCAATTTGCCAACAGGAAAACAGCTGATCAAAAACAGCTGGTTGGCATTTACGGAAATCACAAAATTGAATTTGATGGTTTGGAAGTTAAAAATTACAAAATGCGACTAATTAAACTTGTAAGAAATAAGTAGTTATTTGTTTAATCAATAAACTGTGTCAGTATAACAATTTGTGATGACTTTTCGTACGTTTTAAAATTATATCAGCTGTTCGTCTAACTTGCAAGTTTCTGCAAATTTTCTGTTCGCGTACTATTTGGGATATTTTTCTCTTGTGATAGAACAGATGACATTTCGCCGGAATTTGGCAAATGGTTGGTTTTTACTGGAGATTTTAAACGAACGCACCTATTATTAGTTTTGTTTTGCTTGTTATTGATAGTTGAGTTGTGGAGAGGAGAGCCTGAGTGGTCGTTTTGGTGTGGGGAGAGAGCTGAGTTGTTTATTAGTGCTTTGTCGGTATTGATTGAATTCGTTGTAGGGTAAGAGAAGATATAAGAATTATTAGAAACCGGTTTTGGGGGGATTGTGAGGTGGGAAGTAGAGTATGATTTTGGTTGCATTAAACTTGCATTGAATATGTGGGAAAGAGGTGAGTTGTTTTCGTTTTGTGCTTCGCTTATTTTGTATTTTTTCCTTGATAGAGTTTGTATTATTTTGATCAGTCTTGACTGGTTGGGCAGCAGCCACAGACGAGAAAGAAGGGAAAGGTGATAGGTGGGGTCCATTTTCTTTGTATATTTGTCTGGTTTCGCGTATTGTGCATTTCTTTTGTATGTATGTTTTTTTGTTGTAGAATATTTTTGCAAGTTTTGGAGGAAGACGGGTGTTCTTCAAAACAATTGGCACATTGTGTTCGGGTGCAGGCTGCGGGGTCGTGGGGAGGTAGATTACAGTTCACGCAGTTTGTTGATCTTTTGCAGAATTTAGTGGTGTGACCGAGTAGTTGGCACGTTTTGCATCTCATCGGAATTGGTATATATTGACGCACTTTGACAGTATACCACGAGACATCGATTTTCACCGGCAGATGGTATAAGTCAAACGTTAATAACACAACTCCGCTTGGCTTGAGAGCACCGTCAACGAATTTAGGGAATTTGTAAATTGCTGTAACGTGCTGGGAACTAAGCTCCTTGACAATTTCCTCGTCCGGAAGGTTGTTAGGCATGGTACGAAAATAGTACCTTTTACACTGTTCAAAGTGTCATGGAGTTTACAGGGAACGGAGCAAATCCCCGGCAGATCGCGAGTCCGAACGAATCTATCCGCAACCTTTTTGCTCTTCACAAGGAGTAGAAGATTACCGGCTCTTAGATTGGAAATTGAAATTATTTCACTGCTTATAGCATTCAAAGCTCTGTTTACGGCAAAGCAAGAAAAATCAGCTAGCGTTTTGGATGTATCGCGAGTGGAAACAATAACAAACTTTGGATTTTCTTGATGTTGGCTAGGTAATTCAGGGAAATCTAGTCTTAACATTATTGATGTTTTTCTTTTTTTTGTTTGGGAATTTCCTCCTGAGGAGCGAAGGGGTTTTCCCTACGTTTGGGAGACCCGGGGCCATTATAATTAATGAGTTATGGACTACTGTCGGCTTATCACTCACTTAGGCCGGAGAGAAAAACAAAGGATATTTGCACAATAGAGTACCAACTTACTGCACAACAACACTTCAAATTTAAGTGAAAAGGAGAAATACGATATATTAAACACAACGGATCGCCACGGGTGCTAGTCGGAGACTGTTCTTTCAAGAATATTTGAGGATACTTGAAGATTATTTACTTTTCGTTGGTAGTTTTCCCCTTTATATAGCTTTAGTTTTTCACTTGATAATTAAAAATTCGTATCTCTATCACTTTTTACGTATCTGCGCGTGGGTTAGAGATTAGTTGGAGAATGATGTTGGATATCAACTTGAGAACTATGAATTTCTCCAAGGTTGGAGAAATTTTTTTTTGGTGTTTATTGGGAAATCACACAAGCTGCTGATTACACCTACTTTAGTATTTTCCCATACACTTTTTGTAGTTGAAAAATAAATTTCAACTTAAATATCGATATGGCGGGTAAAGTATCGATGTCTTCGATATATCGACCTTGGAATATCGATTAAAAAAATCTATTATCGAGTCATGAAATATCGATATTCAGAGAAATCGATACGATATCGAACATTCTTAGAATCAAGGGCGCGTATTCATAGTCCAGCAACTAAGTCGAAACTAACAAAGTTGCAACTTAAATTTAAGTACCAACTTAAAATTTACGTCTATTCATAGTCGCATTTCAGACTTCTACTAAGTAGTTTCGACTTAATTTATGATATAGCAAAACGAGTGTGAAAATGTATCGATTTTTCTTTACGATATTTTGGAAAAATTACATTTTTATTAAATAATGTCAAGTTAGATAATCCGTTTATGTAATTTTTATTTTCATTGGATGATTATGCAAAAGAATAAGGTATAATTTTCTTGTTAATTGTGTGAAATAGCCAGAACAACCGCAGTGATGTGAAGTCGATGTTTATCGAAAGCATGCTGTGAAACATACAAATAGTAGATATCTAAATGTTATGCACAAATTTACTTTAAAAGAACTAGCGTGAAACTGACTTATTATTTGAGAATTTATCTAAATTTTTCGAATTATAAAATTGTGATGTAGCTTTATTAGAATTGTAATGCGCATTTAATTTCATCTTCCGATTAAAATGGATCGATCTTTGTAAATTTTAATTGGAGATTATTCAATATTATCAAAATCACCCTCTACCAACTTAATTTTTACATATTTCCTCTGTTTTCCCTTAATTTGATAAAATACTTCTTCCTAGTTACGACTTAGTTGCAGCTACAGCCGAAACTAAATTTTAAGTTGGTACTTAGCCAGAAAAGTCGAAACTAAGGCGACTATGAATAGCTTTAGTTGTGACTTAGAATAGTTTCGACTAAGTTGAGTACTAAATATGACTATGAATATGCGCCAATATTTTTATTAAATAATGTCAAGTTTGATCATCCGCTTATGTAATTTTTATTTTCATTGCATGATTATGCAAAAGAATGAGGTATAATTTTCTTGTTAATTGTGTGAAATAGCCAGAACAACCGCAGTGATGTGAAGTCGATGTTTATCGAATACATGCTGTGAAACATACAAATAGTAGATATCTAAATGTTATGCACAAATTTACTTTAAAAGAACTAGCGTGAAATTGACTTATTATTTGAGAATTTATCTAAATTATTCCAATTATAAAATTGTGATGTAGCTTTATTAGAATTGTAATGCGCATTTAATTACATCTTCCGATTAAAATGGATCGATCTTTGTAAATTTTAATTGGAGATTATTCAATATTATCAAAATCACCCTCTACCAACTTAATTTTTACATATTTCGTCTGTTTTCCCTTAATTTGATAAAATACTCCTTCCTAGTTACGACTTAGTTGCAGCTACAGCCGAAACTAAATTTTAAGTTGGTACTTAGTCAGAAAAGTCGAAACTACGCCGACTATGAATAGCTTTAGTTGTGACTTAAGGCTCAGTTATGCATACTTGGCATCACATGAGATTTGTCACAAAAGGAATCTGTTTAATGAGCTTTGCGTGTAAGCAGTTACCCA